CAGGCCTAGAGGATACCCTTTAGGGATTTTGCAGTTTGAGGAGGTATTTTGTTGCAGTGTTGTCTTATGTTTCTATTGTTTTTTTGTTTGATTGATTTTGTTTTCTAGTTAGTTTTATGGGTACTTATAGTCTTGATCAAGACTTTGTAGGTAGTATGGAGATTTGTCAATCTGCTTTTCAGTGATGCACTCTGGATGTGGCTAATGATAACCCTTTGACTGTGTCTCCACATCAGATTTCCTGTTAATTTGGAAGGGGATGATGCAGTGTTAATTACAGTGTTAATTATTAGCTCAGTTCCCAGTTTTTCAAGAATGGACTGCAGTATTGTTAATATCAGGAAGGTAGTCAGATACTGGCATGTGAACAAAACCTATAGCAACAATTATGGGACCCTGGCAATGTTAAGTAAATCAGCAGCAGTAATATTGTCCAAGACAAACTGGATGTTAATGTACCACAAGTACCAGTAATGTACCACTTTTATTAACCTTAGAAAATGAATCCATAATTATAGTATAATTATAATTACAGTATAAACATTAAGACAAAATGTTGATACACAGGAAGTATCTAACTGCAACAACCATACCTTCAGTAATGATGAAAAAATTGCAACAATAACAACATAGTTAACTATTTAAATAGTAATAAAACTTAATTGTAATACTGTTAATAGGATATTCATAGTGAAGCTTCTAGAGCTTTCAATGATATAAACAGCCTGCTGCAGCTGTTGGTCTGCCATCAGTGATATAGAGGGTTGTGATTGGCAGCATGCAAGAAGAATTTTTAAATTTCATGGGTGATGAGAAGGAGGAAAAAAGCGTGACACAGTGGGTTCTATAAAGGGTAGACTGATAGTTATAGAATTAAAGGTAACAAAAAACTAAATGAGAAACGGATAAAAAAGAGAAAAAAAATAAGTAAAAACAGAAAAGATTAAATGGAAATAAAGGAAAAAGATTAAAAGAAGAAGAAAGGAATGGGCAAATGGACTGACAGGCACGACTGGAGGAAGCAAGATGGCACAGACTGGGGGCACCAGGAGGATAATCTGTTACTGCAGCAGGGATGTTGGAAATTGCTATTATGGACAAGGCCACCTAGAGGAGCCTCACCAAATCTGTGTGACTCACAATTTGCTGTTCACAATGGTTGCTGTCGAAAGATGGAAATCTATTTCCCTCACAAAGCCAGTGCTGAGGAGATGACCAAGTACCACAACGGTGACTACATTAAGACCTTGCGCTCCATCCAGCCAGGTAACGTGTCTGAGTACAGCAAGCAGATGCAGAGATTCAGTGTTCATGAGGACTGTTCAGTATTTGATGGCCTGTTTTGAGTTCTGTCAGTTGTCTGTTCGTGGCTGTACAGGAAGGGCTGTGAAACTTAATAAGCAGAAGAGGGGCATTGCTGTGAATTATGCCGGGGGCCTGTACCATGCAAGGAAGTTTAAAGCATCCGGCTTCTGTTACATCAGTTAAATCATCTTGGCCATCCTGGAACTGCTAAAGTATCACCAGAGAGTACTGTATATTGACATTGATATTCACCATGGTGATGGCATGGAAGAGGCTTTCTGTACCACAGACTGGCTCATGACTGTGTCCTTTCACAAATATGGAGTGTACTTCCCAGAAACTGGGGACCTATGGGGTACTGGGCCTGACAAAGGCAAATACTATGCTGTTAACTACCCACTCCAAGATGGGATTGATGGGAAGTCCTTTGAGGCCATTTTCAAGCCAGTCATGTCCAAAGTAAAGGAGCTATTCCACCCTAGAGCAGTAGTCTCACAGTGTGGCTCAGACTCCCTCTCTGGGGATTGACTGGGTTGCTTTAATCTGACCATCAAATGGCATGCCAAGTGTGTGAATTTGTCAGAAGCTTCAGTCTGGCTATGCTGATGCTGGGAGGAGGTGATTATACGATTTTTCATGTTGAACGTAGGAAACAGCTGTGGCTTTAATACAGAGGTCCCTAATGAACTTCATCCAGTGGCTACTTTGAATACTTTGGACCAGATTTCAAGTTGCATATCAGTTCTTCCAGTATGACTAACAGAACACTAATGAGTAGCTGGAGAAGATCAAACAGCGGCTCTTTGAGAACATGCCCCATGCACCTGCGGTCCAAATGCCGGCAATTCCTAAGGATGCCATCCCTGAGGAGAGTGGCGGTTAAGATGAAGACTCTGACAAACACATCTCAGCCTGTTCCTCTGGCAAATTGCCTGTGAGGAAGAGTTTTCTGACTTGGATGAGGAGGGAAAAAGTGGATCGAACTCTTCAAACTTCAGGAAAGCCAAGAGAGTCAAAATAGAAGATGAGAAAGAGAAAGACTCAGAAAAGAAGAAATTGATCTCAGAAGAGGAGGAAACCAAGGAAGGGAAGCCAGAAGCCAAAGGGGTCAAAAGGAGGTCAAGTGGGCCTAAGTAGACCTCTCCAGCTCAGGCTTTCTGCCACGTTCCCTACCTTTCTTCCTCTGATCCCTTGGATTTTATATTTTCTATTTCTCTGTATATTGATAAAAATGTATCAGATATAAATGTCCTTAGGGACCAGGTAGGATCCAGGGCTCTTGAGTGCAGGGAAGCTATGCTGAGGGAACTCCTTTAGCAGCTGTCTTGCTCCCTGTCCTACCCCAAGTCTTAGTTTTAAACCATACAGGGAGAAGATCTGGATGGAAGTGCAGCCGTAAGATGAAATACTGACAGGCTTCTAAGCTGTGGAAAGGTGCTCCTGTTAAGTGTTATAGAAAGGGTGGCTGTGTCTTCAGGGGCCCCCTGTTCTTCAGGCTCCTTCGGTAACATCAGCCATTTTTAAGTTTGGTTTCATTTTCATGCCTTCCCGCTGGCCCTAAGTGAGCTAAGAAACTCACATTGCCCTCTGTATTCCTCCCGGTTCTACAAGTGGAGGTTTTTATTCTAGCTTTCTTTTTTTTAAGGTCCTGTTTTCTTTTTTACACGACTGTGTAATAAAATGATGTATTTTTTTTCTTTTAAAAATTAAAAAAAACTAACAAAACAATAATAAAGACAAAATCAAAACAACACAAAAGCAACAAAAATGATACATGACCTCAAAACAAAACGATGGGAATTAACAATGGTTGCCACATAAAATGACAAATTTCTATTCAAAAAAAAAAAAGGAAAAAAAAAAGGACGAAGAAAAATTCCTCAAACCCCAGTAAACCAGTGAAGAAAGAGGGCAAAGGGAAAAAAGACAAAAGAAGAAGTAAAGGGAGAAGCAGGAAGAAAACCAAAAAACTTCTGTATTTTGAATGAATCCTTCCAGGATGTGCAGTTTTGTAGTTTAACAAGTGTTGATTTTCTTCGCATAGCCTTATGGCCTGTGGGTTTGTGAGGTGTCCACCTATTCCAGTGGCCCCACTGTTTACCCCAGGCTGTGGCAGTGTCCTTGTTCACCGTGGTAGATAGGGAAGGCAGTCGGATCTCAGATCTGTGCTGGATGTAGGCAGCAGGGCAAGAGTTCAAGTGTTTAATGCTGGTATTTTCAGACCAGCCGTGTCTGAGCGCACCTCAAGCCAGGCCTGACTTCCCAGTGAAGGTGGTGGGACGTTCCCCTTCCTGTGCCCTTCCTGGCACTTTCCAGAAAGGTGATCTCTTTCTGGCCTGCTCCCTGTCTGTGGCTGTCTCACCCAGTAAATACGGAAAGGTAAAACTGGGAGCCCTGAGTTGAAGTTGTTTAGTTGTTCTGAGTCCTACATTGAAATGATCCCTTCCCAGAATGGCCTTAGTTAAGTACGCTGTGGAGGAATTGCTCAGGCTGTTACCTGTCGTGTAGAGGGTGTCCTTTCACAGCAAAACCCCATGCTGCTTTTGCAGTTCACAACAGTCTCTACCCTAAGATCCTTAATTATTTATGCAAAAACCTTTTTTTCTTACAAGATAGCATTTATAGTTTCTCGGGATTAGGACCTGGTGTTTTAGGGGGGTGGTGCATTTTGCAAACTGCTACGGATAGCAAAAGAATACTGGAAAGTATAAATGTAACGTGGTATATGAGCATAGTCTCCCAGCCTACTAAGAAACATGGTAGAATTAGGTAAAAGGCACTTATGGTCTAATCCCCTTTCTACCACTGCAAGTATGTGTGAATTTGGACAAAAACTACTTATCAGGCCAGACCCTCAATTTCATCATGCCTATATTAGACAGCAGTGATTTCAAAGGTTGATTTGACGTTGAATGGGCATATATGGAGGACTCCAGTGTTGTGCCTGGCATGTGGTAGTCCATAATAAAAATTAGTTTTCTTTAGTGACCTTTTGATAGCACAGAAGGAATTCTTGCTGAGGACTCAAGAAAACTTGGTTTTAGTCCTTGTAGGTCCATTAGCTTGTATCCTTTTGAGCAAATCATACCTTATTTCCTTTCATGAATTACACAAGGAGTAAACCCAAAGTGTTTATCCCAAAATCCTCGTGGAAAGAACACAAAAGGAGGATCCAGATTCTAGACTTTAACTCTTCACAGAGTAGAAAGTCTGTGATGTTGCTCATGTATAGATGCGTGGGTTTTGCATTTCATCCCATTGTATGTTACTGCCTGATCTCACATGAAATGCTTTTTGCGTTCCTTTTCAAAAACAAGTGGCAGCCCAGGAATGGAGCTCCAAGGTGGCTTAAAAGAGCTTTGGGAACGCCCTTGGGTGGCTCCAGGTGTGTGCACATCCTAGTTGGAGAGGTTTAGGCCCAGAGGCTTGAGGGTCCTACACTCTTAAAATTGTTTGCCTTTGATTCTTTTTATCAGTTCATGTTTGGGATACGTAATTACGTCCATCTGAGGGAATGGGTACATGTACTTACTTGATTCTTTTTATTCCCCTTCCCCTCCTTACTCCCTCCTTTCTGCCTCTTTAGATCCCCTTTTCCCGTCATCATTGTCATCACATTTGGGGTCTATAAAGATCGCATTCATTGAGGGTAGTTGGTACATAATGCATCTTAGATTGTTTGATTCTCCTCGCAGGTATTTTAATGAAGGAACTGTCCTTGCACACTACGCCGATGTCCTGGGTCTTCTGCTTAGATTGCGGCAGATTTGTTGTCATACTCACCTTCTTACAAATGCAGTGGCATCCAGTGGTCCTTCAGGTAAAGAAATAGGATTGTTTCATACTGTTACATTTGTTACAGATATTTAAATCGGAATGAGAAGTTTTTGTAGGGCCTAAATTTAATATGTGATTTTGTTCTGTGAAATGGACATTAATGGTAAATACGCACAAACATTTTTTTTACCAGTGAAATACAATTCTGAGTTCTTTTCAGGATTTTCAGTGATACGTACACTTACATGAAAGTTTCACTTTGGATCTGCCTTTTCTTCTGTGCTAGTGTGGGCAGGCCATATTATGATGTTTCTTTATAAATTACATGAGTTGGCTATTGTCCTTTAAATTTTTCTTAAAATTTCAAATTTAAGCTATGTTATGAGAAAAAGATGCAAAACTACCTACATGGTATTGGCAAGCAGAACATTTCCTTATGTGAAGTAGATTAACTTGTCTAGTCACACTGCAAAGCTTGCTCTGAAATTAATTTTCCAGCCTTTTCTCTAGGAAGTGATACACCTGAGGAACTGAGAGAGATGTTAATAAAGAAGATGAAGTTGATTCTGAGCTCTGGTTCAGATGAAGAATGTGCAATTTGCCTGGATTCTTTGACAGTTCCTGTGATAACGCATTGTGCACATGTATTTTGTAAACCTTGTATTTGCCAAGTCATTCAGAATGAGCAGGTTAGTGTTTTGCTCAGTATAGGTTCAGTGTGTGGTAGAAGCACCTTCCTTTAATGTAAGTGAAAACTGAAGTCTGAGTATTAAAGACTTACATTTAATAATACCCTTTAATGGTTAATTATTCCAGTAATTTAATAGGTGATATGTTTGAAGTTCTTGTAACACAGAAAGGCATATTGTCAGTAATCTTAATTGTTTGGTTGTTTCTGCCCAACAAATACAGTAATGTGAGACACAAAGGTCATTAAAGTTTTATAATAGCCATGTTTTTACAGAGTAAGAAGAAATATGAAATTAATTTTTATCATACATTTTAATTTAGGCCAGTATATCTAAAATAAAAGTATTAATATAATATGTTGCACTTTCTAAATTATTTTTAAAATAAGTCTCCAGAATCTAGTAGTACTGTATGCTTGGCTTGGCCATACCTCAGAGACTTGACACATGGCTCTTCGCTATTATATTGGATAAAGTAGGTATGGATTCTTTTATGTGGTAAAATATTTTGAGGTTTAAGCAGTCTTCAGCTAGTGCAAAAGCTTTTTCTTACCATTTTAAATTGATACATGTAGAAAAATACACAAATTATAATTGTATAGTTTACTGAATTATCATAATGGGAACATGTTCATGTAAACTATTATCCAAGTCTCCTTTTGTACTCTCTTAATCATTAACTCGCTTCCCTCCCATTAAGTACTCCACTGTACTAATTTCTTGCGTAGTTTTAGTTTCAGTATCTTTTTTTATTGTGGTGTTTGGTATCTAGTTACTTAAGATGTTATCTCATTTTAATATTAGGTACAACAGATATTGCTTTGAATGAACCTCACAAGGTTTAGCATATCAGATAGTTTTATAAGCTATAATACGCTTTATAAACTCTTAGCTTAACAAACCATTCAGAAGGATATTTTTTTCTGAAGAACAGTTCCACATAGTATGCTGTATTGCTTTTATTCTGAGTAAGTATGGCTCATACTTTGTTTTTTCTAATATAGCCACATGCTAAATGCCCTTTATGCAGAAATGATATTCATGGAGACCATTTACTAGAATGTCCTCCAGAAGAATTGGCATGTGATAGTGAGAAAAAGTCTAATGTGGAATGGACATCCAGTTCAAAGGTAAAGTACATTTGAAAACATTTAAATATTTGCTTTATATTTATATAAGAAAATATATACCATGTAACGAAATAGTAATTCCCCTTCTAATCTCGTCATTTGAACATAATTTTGGTGGCTACTGGCTAGAAAGGGATTCAGATTACTATAGTATTCTTTCAGTGTTTGTATATTTTTTTTCTTTTTTTTAGTCTTTCACCTTTACTTTCTAGTTAAGGAAAATAGCAGGACCTTTCTCTTAAAAATCTTGGGATTTGATCAGTGCAGGTTAGGTGGATGTATGGAGATATCATTATAAACCACATTATTATGTATAACTACTACATGTTAATTTGATACATTTAAAAAATAACAGATTTTTCACTTATTTTTTCAGTTGAAAAATAGAATCTAATGGGTATCTTAATTTTTTTCAGATTAATGCTCTAATGCATGCTTTGATTGACTTACGAAAGAAGAATCCCAACATAAAGAGTTTAGTTGTTTCTCAGTTTACAGCGTTCCTGTCTTTAATAGAAACACCACTTAAGTGAGTTCAAAAGTGATTTTTACTCTGAGTAAAAGGGTTTTATATATGTGCATTGTTTTTTATACTGAAAAAAAAACTGTTTTACCAGTTTTAGTCATTTCATCCATCTAAAATGATTTTCAGAATCAGAGAATATTTCCTAAGCATAAGATTTTAAAGACAAGTCCTAAATTTATAAGAAAAAAGTGAACTGCAGTGCCTGCCATATTAGTAAGTGCTCAGGAAACATTTGTTAAAGTACATTAGTAAAGCTGGGGGTGTAGCTCACTGGGAGAAGACTTGTTCGTACACACAAGGCCTGGGATTCAGTCTCCAGAACTACAACGATAGGTAAACAAGTGAAAGAATTTATTTAACAGAGTCCTATTTAACACTTTTTTTGTACTATAGTAATTGCTACTCATCTCTTCCTCATTAGAGCCTCTGGATTTGTGTTTACTCGTTTGGATGGTTCCATGGCCCAAAAAAAGAGAGTTGAATCAATTCAGTGTTTTCAAAACATGGAAGCAGGATCTCCAACTATAATGCTGCTGTCCTTGAAAGCAGGTGGAGTTGGTTTGAATCTTTGTGCAGCTTCTCGAGTGTTTTTAATGGATCCAGTAAGTAGTTTTGTAAACTTTTCAAAATGTTATTACTTCATCCAAAAAGTAAAAGACAGAAACTATTTGGTAAATACTTCCATAGTTATAAAATTGTGAAAATCCTTAAGCAAACTTCCGAAATGGATAATTTAATAAATGTATACGTTGAAGGCAGTCTCTTGTGACAGAGGTAACGTGACTGTCCCTATTTTACAGGTGAGGAAACTGAAGCACTGAAAAGTAAATAATTTGCCCAACATTGCATACTTCATAATAGCAAAACCAGATTGAAGTGTCTGTGTTCTTACATACTATTGTGCTGTGCTATTCTTTCTCTTCCGTGTACAGATTAAATTTCTACTAATTAATCCTTTAAGATAATGTTTCATCAGTCAGTGCTTAAACTTTTCTTTTTTTTGACCAATTTTGCATGCTTGACTCTGGTAATCAGAATGACTGATTTGAAAGCAATAATATGCAGCATAAGAACCATTGTTGAACTCCTACCATGTTGTATGGTGAAGCTCTCCATCATTTCCAATGTTTTTTTTACTATTCTTCTAAATTTTTTTATTACTTGTTACGGTCTTTGATTATTTGATCAGTCTTACATTCTTACATCTGGTGGACTGAGCAACTTTGTTGAAGATAACAGTATGTAATGTAGCAACTATTGTTAATTTCTATCATTTTGTTTTGAGGTCATGTATCATTTTTTTTGTGTGTGTTGTTTTGATTTTGTCTTCATTGTTGTTTTTTAATCTTTAAAATAAAAAAAATTAACAGTTCATTCAGCCAATAGTTAATGAGAGATCCTGCTTTTGTCAGGATGTGGTATAGGCATTGGGAATCTATGAATAAGGTAGACTAGATGGCTACTCTCATGATCCTTGTGCCTAAGAATTAGGTCAAATGCAATTTTAAACCTCCCAGAGATTTAGGGGTTCTTAGATGAGACTCAGGAAGATACATTTTAAACATTTCATCATAGGTAGTTCAAGTCCGGGATCACAATTAGAGACATTACCGTTAATGGAATGTTTTGGATAAATTTCAGGGCCTTCACAAGTGCAGTCACTTATGGTTATGCAATACAACCCTAGAAATAGAATGGAAACTAAAATTCATTCAACTTACCCGGCAGTGTGACCTGAATCTGCGTCCACATAGGAGCATATTTTTCTGACTCATAAAGGGGCTGTAAAGATTCTGAACTAATTTAATTTCTAATATATACTAAGTACACTTGGATTGTAAGTTCTGTGGGTATAAGTAAGATTATACCCACAGTCATATCTCAGTTTCCATGGATGGCAACGTTCTGTGCTTGCATTAGTGCTGTGGATGAAGTTTTAAACTTTGTTAGTTTTGTAGTTATTATTTTAGTTTTTTTGTTTTTTTTTTCGGTTTTTTTCTCCGGTACCGGGAACTGAACTCACGACCTTGCGCTTGCCAGGCAGGCGCTTTTGCCGCTGAGCTAAATCCCCAGCCCCCAAACCCCTGTAGTTATTATTTTAAAAACCTTTAATTGATCATATTAATGCATTGATAGTCCTATAAACTGACTTGTAGAACACAGTCCCAAATTATTGTTCTTTTTCTTGCTGATAATCTTAGTAGTGGAAAAAGAAGAGACTGATATATCAAAATAGAACAATTGATATTAAAAAGTTGAGCAGAGACTCAACTCTTCAGCAGTTTTGTTTCATAAAACACTGTCAGAATTTTTTAGCGCTTTCATAGTATGTTGTCTCATTGAACATACAAAGCTTTCCAGTGTTTTTAACTCTAAAAGTCAGAAAAGAAATCGTTCATGAAAATCTTTTACCTTTTCATACAGCACTGTAAGAGTTAGGGTGGTATTTTGATGTCCATTATGAGCTTCCGCTGAAGCTAAATTGCTTCCTTAATCACTATATGTGAGAGTGGGAACTGTGAGTTTTATTGGATTTCTGGTAGTCATACTAGATGTATATCGCCAGATTATTAGGTTGCTGGATAAAATACAGGCAATAGGGAGAAAAGATTATATGTAGTCCCTTAGTGTAACAACTTAAAATGTGTCTGTAAAATACAAAATATTAACAATATACCTAGTTTAGTTTCAAAAATCATAAACTTAAGTATATTCTTAGATGTAACTTCCCATACTACAGAGGAACCTAAAATTCAAATCACCAGTTAATAGCAAATTCACCTTTTTCTCTAGACCCCAAAGGAACTTAAAATAGATAATAACAGTTAATTTGGTAAGAATTGTATTAAAAACCTGTCATCTATATGTGCATCTCTAAATTTGTTCATGTTTTCAGTTGGTTCTTTGCTATATACATGCACCTTTTCCCCAAAATACTCTGTATTTTCAGCTTTAAGAATCATGCCATAGTTCACATGTAAAATTCAATGGTCTTTATCCTGACTATGATAATATTTAAAAGCCATTTGACTGTTTTTTTCAAATGAACTCTGTGTATTTTGGTTACTCTCCTTCCCCCTTTATTTTTTTGGTGGTGCTGGGGATCGGACCTAGGGCATTTGCACTTGGCTATACCACCCATTTTAAATTTTTTATTTTGAGACAGGGTCTTCTTAGTTGCCCAGGCTGGGCTCAAACTTGTGATTCTCTTGGCTCAGCCTGACAGGATACTGGGATAACACATTCATCACACCATTATTTTATTCTTTAGCTTAAGATAATGCCCATGACTATGTCTGATGTTAACTACCAAATATTACTTTTTGGGCTTAGCTTTGAAGTCAAAACTGATTTCAAATGCGGGTACAGAAAATTGTGTCAACAAAGTCTTAACCTTTTTTTAGGACTTTAAACTACTCATGAAAACTTTTTTGTACTTCTATGAGTGGAGGAAAGTGAGAGAAGAGCTAAAGACCAGCAAAAAGGAAGAAAAATTTTTCATAAATGGGCCCATGGATTGCTTTACTTTTCTGTTGTAAATGAAGTCATCTAAGAAAATGTATAAACTTACTTTCCTATGTTAACTATATATCGATCCACTTTAAAATGAAATGGTCAGGTAGCAGATACTTGTATTGGGTGTTAACAGGTTCTCTGTTAGGTACAGGTTAAGCATCCCTACTCTGAAGGGTTCTGAAATTTAAATCTTTTGAGTACTGACCTGACACACCAAAATTTTTGGAGTTTTAGATTTCAGATTTTTTGTTTTTTGTTTTTCTTCCGGTACCAGGAATCAAACTCACGACCTTGCGCTTGCCAGGCAGGCACTTTGCGGCGAGCTAAAATCCCCAGCCCCTAGATTTCAGATTTTTGGATCTGGAATGTTCAGTCAGTAAAGCCTATGTAAATACTGCAAAATCTGAAGGATTTCTGAAATCTGAAATATTTCTGGTGTCCCGAATTTCTGATAAGAGATAATCAACCAGTAGTAGAGGTACAGTGGGCCCTTAACTTACAAGCTCAGTTTCTTCCTGAGGCCTCCTCTACATAGTCGTCAAAGTCTCACTCCTAATACAGGCAGGTTTAGTGTCCTTAGAGAGACACTGGCTGGGCGTGATGGCGTGCACCTGTAATCCCAAAACTCGGGAGGCTGAGGCAGGAGGATCATTGTGAGTTTGAGACCAGCCTGGGCTACAAAGTGAGCTCAAGCCAGCCTGAACTGCGTAGTTGAGAACGTGTCTTTAATAAAAAAGACGTTGGCCCAGGATTTCTGAATTAACCCATACAGGAAAGGATGTTGTAATGCTCCTTCCAGAACTCCTTTTAAGGGTTAAATCTGTATTTGAGATCATCTGGAAGCACAAGTAGCCAGCATTTGGGTCATAACTTAAGATTGGTTGTAAGTTAAAACTACAATTTTGGTCATAGCCCAAGTTGTTCTTATGTCAGACTGGTTGTAACTCAAGGGTCCACTGTAGAGTGAAATGACATGGAGAATGCCTATTTTCGTAGTGAGCTGGAAGGTGAATTTTTTCCTCCAGTACATTTGTACTGTCAAGTAACTAAATTCAGTCAGACACACATGAATGCATAATGCTGAAATGAAAGGACTAATGCAGAACACTCATACATCAGGATGATAAATGACTCCTGTTCTTACTAGGCCTGGAATCCTGCTGCTGAAGATCAGTGCTTTGACAGATGCCATCGACTTGGTCAGAAGCAAGAAGTTATTATCACAAAAGTGAGTTTGGAACTACTTATTTTTAAGATTAGTGTGTTCTAAAATATAATACAGGTAGAGTGACTATATTTTTGTAATAATTTAAATAGAATTGTAGAAAGCAAAATGTAAAGCTCTTTTTTCTCCTCCATTTATAGATTCACATACGTTCTTCTAAGGGCCTTTTCTCTCTAGTTATTATACGTTCTTACTCATCTTAAAAGTTTATTTTAAAGATAAAAGGAATCATACTTTATTATTCTGTAACATACTTTTTTCCTTAAGTATGTACATTAGAGAATACTGTATAAGTACATTTAGATCAGCACTTTTCATTGTGGTAAAACGTACACAATGAATTTTACCATTTTAGCCATTATTTACATAGATGTAAATTTGTACTTCTATGATGATCTAAAACATATCCTTCTGATTTGCATGTAGTTAAACTTATTTCACATGCTCGTTCGCTAATATTTTTTCTGTGAATTGCTTATCATTTGCCAGTTTTCATAATTATAGTACAAATAGTTTTTTATAGTATAAAAGACTCCGTTAGACATGCTCATTCTTAAATCATTTCTTATGAAGTTGGAAATGGTTTGTCCCAGGAGCTTGCTTGGATTTAAAAACTTCATGAGCTTTTTGTCATGAAAAAGCTTTAAACTTTCTATAATTGAAAATGTGCTTTGAAATGTCTTTTTTTTTTTTTTTTAAGTAGCTCCTAGGTTTTAAAGTCTTACCTAATGATGGCAGGCTTCATCTTCAGATCTTGAAAACTTTTCTTGTGTATTTACTTCCGATTCTTTTAGAAAATTTCGTGTTTTGTGAAATGGGTCTAAATTTATTCTTTTTCCAAATGAAAAACTATTTGGTCTGTCATTTTTTAAAAAATGTTCCTTTTTCTACTAATATGTATATATTAATCTTTCTAGCCTGTTTTGTTCTTTTGATTTCTTCCTGTTTCAGGGCAATTTTACAACAACTGTGGTTTTATAAAGTATACCTTCATAAAAATTTATTGGCTGTTGCTTACTGCTTTTGGACTTTCAGTCTAGGCCAATGGTGGCAAACTATGTCACACACGCTGCAGTGGGCTGTTATTGAAAGCTCTAAAAGGTTTGCTATCACTGGTAGGCTGTCAGATCGCATTTGAGAAATATTATTTACTCGCAGCACTCTGAGAGGCTGAGACAGGAGGAATGCAAATTTGAGCCCAGCCTGGGCAGTTTAGCAATGCCTTGTCTCAAAATTTTAAAAAAATTAACAGTTTTTAAAAAGGGCTAAGGATGTAGTTCTGTGTAAAGGCCTTGGATGCAATCCCAAACCACATCCCCAAAAAGAAAAAAAAAAAATACTATTTGGGATTTACTGAATTTGATTCCTTTGAGCCAGGTGTGGTGGTGCATGCCTGTAATCCCAGCACTTGGGAGGCTGAGGCAGGAGGATACCTGCCTGGGCTACAGAGTGAGTCTAGGCCAACCTGAACTACATAGTAAGACCCTGTCTCCAAAAAAGAAAAAGAAATTTAATTCCTTTTAGAGTTCTTTTCTTTAGAAATAAGGGATGTTTTCATTCAAGATCATAGATAGTATCTCCCTCCATTTATTTAAATCTTTTATGTATTTTATTTTATTATTTTGTTTTTGAGACAGGGTCTCACTTTGAACTCACTCTGTAGCCCAGGCTGGCCTTGAACTCATAGCTATCCTCCTGCCTCAGCCTCCCAAGTGCTGGGATTACAGGCATATGCCACCATGCCCAACTTAGATATTTTAATAGAGTTTTATGATACAGTTTATTTTGTTATCACAGTAACTGGGTTTCTTACACAGTATTGAATAGTAGTAGTAATAGTTCTCTTCTTGGCCTGTTCCTTTTTTTTGTTGGGCTTTTATTTATTTATTTTTTTGTCTGTTTGAGACAGGGTCTCACTATGCAATTCAGGCTGGCCTTGAGCTCACTTTGTAGCCCAGGCTGGTTTTGAACTCGCAACAATCCTCCTACCTCAGCCTCCCAAGTGCTGGGATTACACGTGTGAGCCACCGAGCCCGGCTTGTTGGGCTTTTATTGTCTCACATTAAACATGTCTTCCTTAGCTTGTAGTAAATGTATTTAATAAGATTGAACATATATCTTTTATTCCCAGGTTGAGGGTTTTTTAAATCAAACTTTATATGAGAAGTGTTGAATTTTATTTAGTACATCTTAAGAATCTGTTGAGATTTTCTTTTTGTTTCTCTTTAATTTGTTAATATTATGAATTATACTGGATAAAGACTGATGTTTCCAGAAATTTTTAATCTGTTACATAATAATAAATACATTTCACTAATAGTCTAGTTACAGAGTTGCCTGTATAGTTTCTTTTTATGCTCTGACCTGGAGATGAGGTTATAAATGTAACTTCCGTCCTTCCAGCCATTTTCTGTATAAAGGAAAACCAACTTGGGTGACAGAGGAGAGCAGTGCTTAAGTCTAGAATTACTGTCTCGTGTTCCAAATAGTCTCGTTGCACACTGAGAAAAAAGAGGAGCTAAACAGCTTCTTATCCGTTGTTACTACACTACATTTGTTTTTGAAAGATGAAGTATGCTTCTAAGACTAGATATCCTTAATGTTATTTTTTCTGTTTATGTGGGCAGTATTAGCATATTTTATCTTACATGATTCTCAATAGTAGTTCATTTTTTTGTAGGCTTCATTAAGATTTTAAATACTGTTACCTAAGAAATAACCAATTTCACCTTTTTTAAAAATTCTTTTTTCTTTTTAAAGTTCATTGTGAAGGATTCTGTTGAAGAAAATATGCTGAAAATACAAAACACAAAAAGAGAACTTGCAGCTGGAGCTTTTGGAACGAAAAAGACAAATGCTAATGACATGAAACAAGCTAAAATCAATGAAATAAAAACTTTAATTGATTTGTAATATGTGGGATTTTAGCAAGGTCAGTTTTATCAGATGTATAAGTATTGGAAATGAGCAAACAGATTTAGGAATAAGATCTAGAATGTCTTCTATGAGGCGCATACTGTTTTATATTAGTAAACAGGTAATACTGACACATAACTTCTTTTATATATGGATGTATTTTTAATAATATTTCAAATAGCAATAAGTTCTGTTATATACTGTGGCCTAAAATAATTTTTTGAGATAAAAGGTTGCTTTGTTACTCAACTTTTTCATAGATAATCCTATGCTGAGTTTTTTTTCATATATCTTCTAAGTACTCAGCTTTTTCATATTTCAAATAAGAGCAAATCTTTTATTCTTTGAGCAGTGGAGACTTTAGTATGTAGGACACATTTGGTTTTTCAACAAAGCCTCTGATTTGTGATGCAGTGGATTCATGTAAAGGATGTATGTGATTTTAGTGGACTTTCAAACCATCTTTGCATTCCAAAACCAAATCGTAAATGAGAGACCAAAGTCTAGGCTAACAGATTACTTGGAACGTTTCTTTTAAACAACTTCATTGAGATATAGCTTATATAGGTAACTTTTTCCCCCTGTATTGGGGATTGAACCCAGGGCCTTTGCACTGAACTATATCCCCATCCCTATTGTTAATATTTTGAGACAGTCTTGCAAAAATCACTAAACTGTCTAGGGTTGGCTTGAGCTTGTGATACTGTTGTCTTACTGTCCTGTAGTGCTATGATTACAGGCATGTACCACCACACCCAGCTCATATCTGTGACTTGGAAGTTTAAGTTTTGAAACAATTAGGGACTGTGTTACAGCACTATTTTCTCCAGTTTAGTCAAGTGGTACTACATTGTTTGAATGTAATTTGATATAAACACGGGGTGTAAATATAGCCTGTGGGGTAAGAGGGAACCAGTTCTACCCAATTTAATTTCAGTATCTAAATTATGGAATTTGAATAGATATTTCTATAAATAGATAATTTTTATTTATGTAGTTTTTTTGGAAATAACTATAAATTTTTATAATTCAGAAGACTACTGTGTGTGAGAGGCGTGATATCTGGATGGAAGTTGGGCTGGATGACCTCCAAAGTCATTTCAACTCTTAAAGACATCTTAATCCTGAATGTAAAAATTTCTTTGTTCTGTGTGTTTGAAATCAGAATTTGATTTTGTAACTTCGGTAATTCATTCCCACATTTCATGCTCTTGTTGTAAGCAAACTCACAGTAGTTGCCACAGAATTCTAGATGACTTTTGGATCATATTTAAAAGAAGCAAGCTAGAAATTTAGCAGTTGTGTTAGTTGGTCCATGGATTTATTTCCTTAAGAGAATTTTTTAAATCCAAAGAGATTAACTACTGTAATAAGAGATGCTTCATACTTGATACAGACTTAACACGTAAAGTTTTACTTACAGTATTAGAAGTGGCTTGACTGAAAGATAATAGAGGTCAGTTGTGTTACAGGCACATATCTAGGGTGTACATCAAGTGTGTCACCCCCTACGTCTTCTCCCAGGGTCCTGTCTCTTGCTCCAAGGAAACACATTAGCCATTGAGAATCTTCTCAGTCTCTTTTTTTCTGAGAGCTAACAGGGAAGGTAGAGGGCTCATTTTCATGAACATCAAGTCAGACCTTTCTGCGGGAATGAGAGAGAATTAACATGGGGTTGGTCAGCTAGCACTAGGAGCCCTAGGGAAATTCTTTACCTTGTAGGTCTAGTGTTCAACAAAAAAATCAGGCTCATCAGGATCTCATTAAATGTGGTATATGGTTTTTCTGTATACCAACAGTCCAGTGAGATTAAGAAGATTAGGATAATTTTTTGAAAAAAATAAAAAGTCTATTTGTCTTGATTACAGAAGCAGGGCCATTCAGATTCAACTCTAAAGGTGAAATATCTTACCCAAATACTTAAGAGTTCTGCTTTAAACACGTAAGTTTGGCAAGTCATTTAAAAATGTTTTTGTTTTTATACAGACCTATTAAGTGGTGTTAAATAATTTAATTCATCTTAAAATATATAAACCACTGCAATGAAAACTATACTTATGCTGTTAATTCTCTTATTATTACATAGAATAATAGCTTTAGGAATATATTGCAAATATTGTATTTCCAGTTGTGGTTCAAACTGAGTTTTGTGGTTTAAACTGGATTTTGTTTTAAATTTAAAATAAATATTTCAAAAACTGATTACCTTCCTCAGTGCTATGATTTCTATTCTCTTTAAATGCAATTTTATTAAATTTCATTTCTCTAAATGTTTATATTAGTGTTTTACCTGACTGCACATAAAAATACTGTAATAATATATTCACATTAACACCTTTTATTTTTGCTCAGTTTAATTGGTTGAAACTTCTTGTTCAGAAATGAGTGAATATTTAAGGCTCATTTTAAATGCTTTGCTCTATAACATTAATCCCAGTGAATTTCTTCAGCAATAAGAAAAAAAAGTTGTGGTAATACATATACAAATAGCACTCCAAATCACTGTAGATTTGCCCTGAAAATTGTAACTCTAGATTGGAAATAATAAAAAAAATACCCTGTGTGGTTTATTACCTGAGTACTTACGAACTTATCCTAGGCAGTGAGCACTTTATGTTGGGATATGTCAAAGACACTGGTATATTTTTTTCGTTAAAACTTGCCAAAGTTCTTCATTAACCTTTGGATGAGACGCATAAAAAACATGACAGATTTGATGTCTGGCTCATGATAATTTAATAACCTTAAGTGTTCACTACATTAACTTTATAATTATAATATCCGCAAAAGTTTCAGTGAGGAAATATCAGGTGGAAGGGGAATTAAGACCAGTATTCACCTTATGCATGAGTCAGACCTTGATCAAGCATGGAGCTGATCCCTAAAGGAAGGACATGGATTTTGGCCTTTGAGTAGTAAGCAAGTTTGTCTTACAGCCAACGTCTGTTGTACCTACCACTGTTCACAAAGGGATTTTTAAAAGGATATATTGATAGCCTTCACTAATGTATGTTTTATAATTTGAGCTACTACCTTTTTAATGCATCTGAGTAATCCCTGTCATCTTGGGCTTCCTGGAGGAGATTTTGCAGTGTAGCTATACAGCTCTGTGTTGAAAAGTTGATTTTTTGCCTTATTGAAGACATCCTTGAAAGACGAGGGAAAGAAAATGTTAGCAGAGTTTAGTGATCTCCCAGCCATGTAACTTGACACGCCTTTGTGGACATTACAGAGCATTCTCTAATTATTGTTTCTGATTGTAAAAGTTAAAGGCTTTGGCTAAACTGGGAACTTCATTTCATGCTTTGCAAAAATTAGGGTAGGGTAGTAAATATGACACAAACTGGTACAGTGTCCTCCGCCTCCATCTGATGCTTTTACATCTTTCTTAAAGTCATTTCTAATATACTTTATTTGGATTATATGGCCACAAGACTTACATGGCATTCTTTATCTGAAGACTAGGTTTCTTTGCATCTCATCCAGGGGCTCTGTAACCAAAAGGCAGGAGCTTTGGACTGGCTAAAAATATCTAGAGGTTTTTGTAGTCACAACACCAGGAAATGGAAAGTTAAGCTTCATGAACTTGATTTTGGCAACTGTTCTCTACAAGTCCAGATAAATTTTATATTCAGAAGTCATTTACCATTTTATGTTTTATGATTTTAGGTAAATCCTCAGGTTCTTCTTGAGCTCTTGTACCTACATTCCTACATGGCCCTTGGTTATCCCGTCTCCAGATATTGAAACCCCAGGGTATTAAGCCATGCTGAATGTAGAGGATCCAGGTAGCCAATAGGAAACTGTCAAAATGAAGGTGACAGAAGGCTAGGTCACGAAAGCCATTGGAGCGTTTGCTAAAATTAAAAGTTCTTGTTATTTTCTACTTTTATTCAGAATTATTTCTGATTACTCAGTTTCAAAGGGTCACTTTGGAACCAACATTCCTTGGTTTGCCATTCCCTGCATCCTAGGATTTATGCTTCTTTCATTCTAGATAAAAACACTAGAAGGAATTGGGTCTAGTACTGATTCTGACAGTCCTGAAAGATTCCTGAGTACGTTCAGAGATGGACGGTGAGCTCAATGCTTTTAACATCACCATGTGCTGACTACTTGCGTAACCACGGGGGATGGAATGTGAGGGACACTAAATAGATTTGATCCCACTTTCTTCCATCTGTCAGATCCACCACCATCACTGGAAAACATTAGATTTGAATTTCTTAGGTAGCAGTTTCTAAGACATACCTGTGTCAAGCTTTATACTTTAAAAATCTGTGACAGAATTCACAAATTATGGAAAAATCCCTTAACAGATGTTTTTTAAGGGTGAGATGGGGAATGAATTAAACAGCCAAGGTATGGCAATAAGTCTTTATTTTTCATACAGGGTATTAACTGCAGGTAACCATCAGAGAGCACACTGCTATTTTCACATATATAGAACTGAACAAAAGCATTTCAGCATGCTGCCTTACGGTGTATAGAGACCTGGTGAACATTCAGACAGGAAATAAAATGGGCTAACACCATTTGTTGATACGCTATGAATCACTCAGCAGTGTTATTAAAGGTTGCCTTTACCTGAAGCAGAATTACCACTCTGGTAGCCCCTGGGCAATCCTAAAATGCAACTTTTCTGATGAGTATAACAAGCAGGCAAGGGGCAGAAGCCATGTTCTGAAAGGAGATGGATTTGGAACCTGGTTCTACACAAGTTGGTACAACCATCTTCAGCGCATAATATTGGGTTTCCTTTACTACATACATTGGCAATCAGCATAACTGAGAATTTCTAGGGTTATGAAACAACACTGTCCATATAATAGAACTACAGCTCTGCAACTTCTGCCCAGTTCTCACCTGTCGACCTGCAAAAACCCTTCATGTGAGGAGTTTTAGTGAAAGCCTGGAACTCCCGTAACAGACTTCTCAACCCAGCTCTAGATACTAAGTATCAGAAACAAGTCCCCTTGAAAGGATGTGTTCACTGGAAGATGGCAGTGCTTCTACTGGAGGTAAGTGTCAAGTTTCCGCTTGATGTTGTCAAAGGAGTCTGCTCCCATGTAATCAGCCTGGCCCTGTTCCCATCGCTCCTTCCTTTCCTCTGATGACACAAAAGGCTGTGGTGCAGCTGGGTTCTCCCCAAGGGACAGGTGTGAGACGGCTCCTGAGACATGTTCCTAGAAAAAAGGAGCACAATCAGAGACTCCTTGAGACAGCGGAAAATCACATCATTTTAAAAAATGCAATAAATTGAAGGTAAGAAAAGCCAGGATGAATTATCATGCAAAGTAGCAAAAACTGAAAAGCATTACATGAAACAAACAAAAAAGACACAAAAAATACAAGGGTCATGATTTTTTTTCCTAACAAAATGAAGACTTTATTGACTCAGTGGAAACATTGGGAGAACAAATTAATCAGGGTTAATGTTTAAGTTCTGCATACCTTTCTACAGAAGCCACAAGAGAAAGCCAGTGTATAGACCAAGTCTGAAAGCTGCAAACAGTTCATTAGAAAGTGTAAGATGGATAGGCAAAAGAACACAAGTGTCATGATAAATTCGCAATCTGTGTGGGCTCAGAAAGGTTGAGAACTTAAACAGAAATACACTTCAGATGCTACGCTTCAGAGAGAACCTACCCAGAGAGCCACAACACACACACAAGTGGTCACATTGTAAGAAGGAAAGCTAAATGGTTTTGAGGCTGTGTACCAAATTGTCTGTTCAAGCTTTCATTTGGATTACCAAGTAGCATCTATTCTTGTAGCTTCTGTTAATCTGCTTAGTTTTGAACAACTTTCAATTCCCATCTTCAACTTTTCTTAGTTCATAATTCTCAGCCCTTGTGTCACAGAAAGAACAGGGTAAATGTAGCAAACAGCAAATCTACACTAAATAAAATTTGACTCATATATGGATAGGCAGTTGACTTCAAGTATACCAAGGAAGGAATACCAGTGCAAAAGTGAGAAGGCTGGACATTTTAAAGGGAAAAAGAAGGTGAATAAGTAAAAATGGAAACGGCTTTTAAGAGAACATGGTGGAACAAATTTTTGGATACTTTAAATATACTGGAACTGCAAGGAAGTTGAGTATAGGATTGTGATGTAGTTAAAGCAACATAAGAAAGCACTTCCATTGGGTCAGTCCTGCCTTTGCCTTCCCTTTGTAACAGGAATGGTAAACAGGCTCTTCTGGAGTCCTCTGCTTCATAATGTGAGGGCTGTGAGTTTAGTGTGAACTTGCTAAGAGAAAGGCCCTTGAAATCTAGTGAAGGATGTTGGTTCTAACTTAAAATAGCTCAGCATTTAAAGCTTAATACATTCCCACCAGCTCGCACCACGAAGTGATACATGATGGGATGTCATGCGTGTACCACTGGTGGTTGAGAGCCACCCACCAGCGACACATACGAATTATGGCTGCATCATGAATGTGTTAATGCTCCCTCTGCCATGAAAGGTGCTATACTTAGTTCTGGTCTGAATCTATTTTAAGCAAGGTCCATCTCAAATTTTTGGTAAGGATAACTAACAGTCTGTCAGATCTGGATTTTGAGTCTCAGTTCTGCTGTTATCTTACACCACTAAGACAAGTTATGTAACTTCTTTAAGCCTCAGTTTATCTATAAATGGGATATTAATAGTACTTGGTACAGTAGTTGTAAGGATTAACTAAGAATAGCTAACTTTTATTAAGCACTTACTGTATGCCAGGTACTGTTTCACCTCCTGTACAAGTGTTACTTCATGGACCACACTTAGAATAAGAAGTGTTTAAAATAAAAGTGTCTCCCTTTCTCATTTCTATATTGTGGTACAAATACTAGCAAATGACTAAAATCTATACTGTAGGAAAAAGCATCCTTTAAAGTGCTATGATGATAGCCAGGCAATTAACCAATTTCCTGTTTATAATTTGTCCATTTAGTTGTTTTTTTATCTTAATGTTTAACGAGCTTAATTCCTCATTCTCTTCCAATTCATCCAAAAGAAAAACCCTCCCACAAGGACCTTAAACATGCTCTAAAAGTTTAAGTGTTAACATGTCATCTCCCTGTTAAAAAGAGATTTCTTTTTACAAACTTGCATAATCACAGTAGTATAAACAAGAAATAATAGTTATAGAAAAGTATTTAACGTACATATTGTAATTTTCACTGAAGACATTTTTCTAAGCAGATGGCAAATATGAAATAGGTATATTTAAATGGCTGGAGTTTCTAAAACATTAAATGGGCTGTTTTCCCCCTACCTCCAGGGCAAAATGCCTTACCACTGAGCTGCACCCCCAGTCTATTTATATAGGCTTACTACAGTAAGAATAATCTCGAAATTCTTCTTTGTAGACAATAAGCTAAGAGTTTTATAATCACAATGTACAGGTATATTTTTTTAAAAACCCTCTAAAAACATTCCTTATACTATCAGATGAAATTTGCCACACGGTATACTTTCACTCCTGTGGTGATATTTCTCCATTCTAAGACAGTCATTATTTTCTTTTCACAAAAATCATCTCTCTGTTTAAAATATTACCAAATACTCCCAAACGCTATTGACATACCAAGTTTTAAAAGGCATAGCACTAATGTATATGAAAGAAAAAATAGAAACAGAACTTACCACATTTTTGTATGAGCAGGTGTCTTTCACAAGCCCATGATGTTGAAGCAGAGGTAAAACACTGGTGGTGAAGATGTCCCACCACAGGTTGAGAAACTCCGGCTGAGTCATAGTGGGATCGTGGGACTCACTTTTAACACTTTTTGTTTGGGGATCATAAGTATAATTCCATGGCTTGACTCGTCCCAGGAAATGCACAACTTTGGCATTTGCACCAAACCTGCCAAGTGAACACAAGTTGAAACGGTCAGTGAATTCTGAGTCCAGACAGATAATCTGGATGCTGTTCTGTAATCTTAACAGTACGCCTTCCGTCCTGTAGTAGCAGCTAGAAAAGAAACTGGCCTCACTGTAAAACCAAGAAAAGATGCTTTAGAGATTAATCAACCAGCCAGGCGTGGTGGTGCACGCCTGTAATCCTAGCACTCGGGAAGCTGAGGCAGGAGGATTGTTACAAGTTCGAGACCAGCCTGGGCTACAAAGCGAGCTCAAGACCAGCCTGAAAAAAAAAAAAAAAAAAAGATTAGTCAACTATGTGTTAAATACACATAAAAATGCAAACGGAGTAGTTCAGTGCAACAACATGAGCACAGCTTCATCCTGGATAGGAAAGGCACAATCACTTAGAAAACTGCTATTTCCCAGTAAAGTTGAAAGTGCTCATGCTCTGCCACCCAGAAGCTAAGTTCCAGGTACAACAGAAGAAGACCACGCAGCAGGAGCACTGTTTGAAATGGCCCAAACACATGTCCACATGTTAAATTAGGTTATCGCTCACTGCTCAGCAAGTGTGTGCTGCTCCTGGCCTCTGCAGTGGAAGTACACTTTCCACTGGAAGCTGGATATGCCATTATGGCTTGGTCTGGCCAGTGGAAAGTGGGCAGCAGTGAGAATGCCTTACAGAAGCATTGGTTGATTCTGTTCACCCTCTTTGAGAAGTTGCAACTTCTGCCAGGAGAACATGCGAGAATATGCTCTGTGTAGTCTGCTATTTCCACAAGAATGGGAAACATGGCATAGATCAGGATCAAACCTGTGGCATTACTCCAGACAGAGCTGAGAAGATTGGAGCTAGCCCAGGTGATCCACCTTTAGAAAGAAGCAAGACAAGAAGTACTTACTTATCAAATATCACTTTGAGGTTTTATAGTTATGAATCTATTTCATCTTTGTCTAAAAAGAAAATTTCTGGTATATTAATACAGAATACAGCAATTGAAATGAACTAGCTGTACACCAATGCAGCAAATATGAGTTTTAAAAGCCTTTATATTGAAAAAAATGAGTAAAACAATGATCACACATTTGATTTACTTATATAGACAGAAAGGCACTGTTTGGAGATTAGAATACTGGATAATATGTATTTCATGATTTGTTTAACCTGTCGGGGGAGAAAGGAGAAGCTCTAATTAGAAGGAACAAAAGAGGCTTCTAAGATACTGTGCTCCACTTCTTTTTTAAATGAACTTTTATGCATAGAAACATGAAAATTGTACATATTAGTGTCACAGTGTGACATTTTGATACATGTGCAGTATGATTCAAATTACGTGAAACATATCTTCTTGAACCATTTTATGGTAAAACATTCAAAATATTTTCTTCTAGGTGTTTGATGTGGAGTATATTACTGTTATGTACAGTCACCCAACTGTGCTATTGCATTTTTTAATTTATGTGGTGGGTATTTTAAAACACTGCACAAAAGAAATCAGGAAAACAATCTCATCCACAGTAGCTTCAAAAAAAATACACCTAGGAATTAACCTAACCAAGGAACCGGAAAAACCTCTACAACAAAAACTATAGTACTCTGAAGAGAGATTAAAGAGGACATTAGAAAATGGAAAGACCTTCTGTTCCTGGGTAGGCAAAACAAACAGTGTCAAAATAGTTCTATTACCAAAAATGATTTAATGCAATTCCAATCAAAATACCAACAGCATTCTTAATAGATTTAGAAAAAAAAATCCTAAAATTGGTATGGAATCAGAAAAGATACTGAGTAGACAGAGCAACTGAGCAAAAACAAAGTAGAAGGCATTACAATCCCAGATTTCAAGTTATACTACAAAGCTACAGTAATAAAAATCGCATGGTACTGGCACAAAAATAGACATACTGACCAGTGGGATAGAACTGAGTATGCAGGAACAACTCTATGTGTTTCCAGCCATTTTGGTTTTCGACAAAAGGGGCAAAACACACTGGAGAATAGATACTCTCAAAAAAAAAGAAGTGCTTGGAAAACTGGCTATCCACTTGCAGAAGAATGAATCTAGATCCAAATCTCTTATTCTGTTCTAAAACCAAACCAAAAAAGGTCAGAGACCTAGATATAAAAAAAAACAGAAACACTGAGTTTGTTGGAAGAAAAAAATAGATAAAACTCTTGAAGACAGAGGCATAGGCAAGGGCTTTTAGAACAGAACCCAAAATGCACAAGAAATAATACCAAGAATCAACAAATAAGATGATATCAAATCAAAAAGCTTCTGCACAGAAAAAAACAAAACTAAAAGCAAAACCAAAAAACCAACCAATAGGGTGAAGAGACAATCTACAAAACGGGAAAAATTTTTTCCAGCTACTGCTCAGAAGACTAGTCCTACTGTTGAATACATAAAGAATTAAAAAAAAGATTAGATGTCCCAAAATAAAAAAAAAACCCAACCAGAAAATGGGTCATGGACATGAACACACACTTCACAGAAGTAGTAGAAATGGTTATTAAATACATGAAAAAATGTTCAGCATCTTTGGCCACTGGAGAAATGCAAATCAAAAACAACACCAATATTCCGTTTTACCCCGTGAAGAATAGGTTTCATGATGGACACAATGATAAATGCTGGTGAGGCTATGGGAAAAAAAGGAACCTTGTACATTGTTGGTAGAAGTGTAGACTAGTACAACCACTGTGGAAATCAGAATGGGGAGTTCTCAGAAAAGTAAAATTAGAAATTCCATTTGTTCCAGCTATTCTCTTCCTGGTAGCTTCCCAAGAGTTAAAAAAAAAATTACAGTGATACATGCATATCCATGCTTATGGCAGCACAACTCACAATAGTTAAATTATGGAAGTATCCTATATGTCCATTAACAGGATGAATGGATAAAGCAAATGTGGCATATATACACGATGGAGTACTACTCTGCCATAAAGGATAAACTTGAGTCATTTGCAGGAAAGTGGGTGTTGAGCCATAATAGTAAAGTAAGTCAGACACAGAAGGGTGAAGAGAGTATGCTTTCTCTTCTACGAGAAACCCAAAATACAGTATAAATAATTGAAAAAGCGAAATAAAATTTGGTAGGAAATAGCATTTGTGGAGATGGGAAGGGGGTCTGGAAAGGGGTGGAAGGGGAAGTAAAATGATCAGATGCAATATGTATATGTACCAATTCCCCAAGATGAATGTAATTTTTTTCTTTTAAGATCCCTCATTTTATTCTGTAGCATTCCAGACACATGTAATTGACATTAAGTTTTTATATTACATAATTGTGTAAGTTTCCTGTATCTGACACATGTTCAGAGGTGTCTGAAAATTATCACTGAGAACTTTGTGCATTCGTAGGGATTTAATTCAACAGGCATTCTTACATGTAGGCTAACCGAAGATTTGTGTACATCACTTAGGTTCCCGGTTTCTCACTCTTCTCCACTCTTTTATAATTACAAATGAAACCAAAATGACTAGAGGTGTTTTCATAAAGTACAGTAATATGAGTTTCCCCACTGTGCAGTGTCACGCTGCCAGGAAGGGAGGGTGAAAGTGAAGAATTCCCATGTTTTACATTTACACTTACTTTCAGTGCAGGTTTGTTTGTTCGTGTTTTCTCAAGTCATCGGAATCACTAACAGCTTTCTCACATTACCTACACAGGGGATCTGTCCAGCGTGAGGTCCTTCAGTATTTCAAGGTAAGTGAAAGAACTGAAGCGTTTCCCACACTGACTCCATACATCTGGCTTCTCTCCCATATGAATATTTTCATGTATTTGAATACATTATGAAAAATATACCTTTCAAACATTGCTCACATCTGTACAGATTCCCGCATGACATTTCTCATGTATGTAATGATACCTGTGTGTACTTTTTTGGAGACTGGATCTTGCTATGTAGTCCAGGTGGGCCTTGAACTTGTGGCAATCTTCCTCTTTCTGACTGCTGGGATTACAGGCATGTGCCACCATGCCCTGCTTAAGAATGTAATTATTATGTATCACAAACATACACCAAAATAAAAACGCCCCACATGCTGAAAAAATGCACATCTGCTATTCTGTGTGTGGGGGAACTATTGGAAGATAATAGGAAAATCTAAATAGTTACACCATGAAAAGCAAAACAAAAATAAAGTGGTATACATTTTCTGGCATACACTTCTGTGTAGATGCTGTATTTCATAGTAAATAGTATTTTCAAAGGAGTAAGATTGAAGCCTGGTCCTGTACGAGCTGGGAGGAAAATCTATGCATACAAAAACAGTAAAGATGACCGCAAGGAGTGCCAATAGGAAACTTAAGAACAGGGAGTGCTGGGAAACTTGGGTGTCACAAGCCGGCTGCAGGGGGCAGAGGTGCTGCAATGACAGCTGGGGACTTCAAGCTTGTGCAGCAGAGGGGATCTGGAAATCTGGTGATAATCTAGGAGTTCCAGGCAGGGAACACCTGTGCGCACTGCCAAGCATCCTCCAGAGTCAGACCTGGGAAGGCCCTCTGAATAGGGAAAGCGAGGTAAAGTAGGACGGATCCTTGGTGGCTGGGGCTCACATGTTAGATTTCAGTGGATTTACATAGGAACCCAATGTATTTGAGTATGATGTATAGATCAAAATAACGTAGATTCTGTTCACGTAACATTCTCTAACTCCTAGAGTTAGTTTATTTATTTTTTAACCTTAGAGGCCTGTTAAATAGATATCATCTGAGAATTTACTATGTTTGGGGCTCAAATACTTTAAGGATGTGGTCGAGAATAATGAAATTCCTACAAAGTAGACTTTATTAATGTGCTAGTTCAGGCACAGAGAGACCGAGTTGCTCAGGGCCACACAGCCATTAAATGGCAGAGAGGGATTTGGTACAATTTTGTCTCTTAATGCAGCCTGAGCTGCTCTGACCACCCTGTAATGGTGCCGCTTCAAAAATATGTAAGAAAAAGCCTGCTTGTAGAGTTCTTTACTCTTAAGGGTGATTACTGCACAT